TCTTTCTTTCTTTCTTTCTTTCTTTCTTTCTTTCTTTCTTTCTTTCTGTTTTTATAAGCCAAACATCTTAACAGGTGACTGAATGATAAACATCAACACCAATTTTAAAATAATTAAAATAATACAAAATAAATATTTGTGATCCTGTATACGTTTATTACAAATGAATTTCTTGGTAGACAGATATATAAGGAACTTCAACTTCAGAAATACAGAAACAGGGGTTAATGTCAGGTATTTGCAAGTTTGAAAAGTAAGTGAAATAGGATGGTTGATTAATTGCCTGGAAATGATGGATTCATAGACAGCTTGATTTATTCAGATAAAACTATTTCATTTAATATTTGAAAATAATGTTGAAAGCACTGTCCATGAGAACACTTTGATACAATGTCAAAAACAAAAGAAGAAACATTGTGCTGCATATCAAATTAACCTTCATTATTCTGAAATAATTTTCAACTAGCATTAATAAGCAATAGAATCAATAAAATTAATTTCATAAGTTCTACATGTCCAATAAGTAGTAACTGTGAGAGGGATCTTGGAGTCCTGGTGGAGAATCACTTTTCATCCCTTTTATATCCTTTTCTACTCTAATATTTTTGTTTAGCACTTCCAAGGTTAACACAAACAACAAAGGTGATAGCAACGTTTCGGCAGAATCTCATCTGCCATCATCGGGCTTCTGTATTGTGTTTGTCTGGCAAATAGACAGACAAACACAATACAGAAGCCTGATTATGGCAGATGAGATTCTGCCGAAACGTTGCTACAATTTTAAAAGCACAACTATAATGACGTGGGAAAATACCCGAACAAAGCTGAATACCATACATGTAAGTACCCGCGAAAACTTAAGAATATATATATATATATATTGATTCATCTAGCTCTGCCTTTCTCATGATGTGCTCTGCATATAAATTAAATAGGCAGGTGACAGTAAACAGCCTTGCCAAACTCCTTTCCCAATTTTGAACCAATTAGAGATTCCAGGTCCAGTTTTCACTGTTGCTTCTTGACCCACATATAGATTTCTCAAGAGACAAATAAGATGGTCTGGTACTCCCATCTCTTTAAGGACTTGCCACAATTTGTTGTGATCCACACAATTAAAGGCTTTAGCATAGTCAATGAAGCAATGAAGCTTCCTACTTTAGCATTCCAATCCCCCATGATGATAAGGACATCATTTTTTGGTGTTAATTCTATAAGGTGCTGTATGGCTTCATAGAACCGTTCAATTTCATCCTCTTCAGCACCAGTGGTTGGGGCATAGATTTGGATTACTGTTATGTTGAATGGTTTGCCTTTGATTCGAAATGAGATCATTCTGTCATTTGGAGGATTGTATGCCAGTATTGCTTTTTCTACTTTTTTATTTATTGACTATGAAGGCTATTCCATTTCTTCTGAGGGATTCTTGCCCGTAGTAGTATACCTGATGGTCATCTGAATTAAATTCACCCAATCCAGTCTATTTTAGTTCAGATGGACTAGATGTCAATGTTCAGTCTTGTCATCTCTTGTTTGACCACGTCCAGCTTGCCTAGATTCATGGATCTTACATTTCAGGTTCCTATGGAGAATAGATCTCTACAGCATCGGACTTTCCTTTCACCACCAGATATATCCACAACTGAACGTCCTTTTGGCTTTGGCCCAGTTGCTTCACTCCTTCTGGTGCTACTAGTACTAACCCTCTGCTCTTCCCAGTAACATATTGGACACCTTCCATCCGGAGGGGCTCATCTTCCAGCATCATATCTTTTTGCCTTTTAGTACTGTCCATGGGGTTTTCATGGCAAAGATACTGGAGTGGTTGCCATTTCCTTCTCCAGTGGATCATGTTTTGTCAGAGCTCTCTGCTATGGCCTGTCTGTCTTGGGTGGCCCTGCACAGCATAGCTCATATCTTCATTGAGCTATGCAAGCTCCTTCACCACAACAAGGCAGTAATCCATGAAGAAGCTTCTTCCAATACCAGTGTAAAAGTACTGTCAAAAATAAAGAATAGTTGTTAATGTAGAAACAGATTTAAAAGGAAGATTCCATAGGTAATTAGCGTGGTAATAAATGTGCTAAGATAGTTCCTTCAGCTTCCCTAGAAATTAAAAAAAGAACTAATTTTGGTGCATTGCAAACACTGCATTCAATTAAAATACAATAATTTCTTTCAGCAGGTGCCCAGTAGGGTTGCCTGAATAACACATTTAATGCTTTTCCTGCTTTCCAAGCTGAAATTAATCAAGATTAAGCAGGAAGATACAAAGATATCCAGGGGAGAAAGATTTAACATTCTCTGGAAAGTTTAGACAAAGGAACCTGTGAAATGCCCATTTTGTTGAATGTGATGGGATATACACAGTTGTGGTATTCAGCCAGTTTGCACTGGTTCAGGTGAACCTGTAGCAAGGATTTGGCATGGGTCACCAAACCGGTAGTAATTTCTGGCTGGCCATGCCCTGCCCGGGTCACCCGGTCGCCGTTCACTCGCTTGCCTCACCCGCTTGATGCTTGCTCACTCCGCCCCACCCGCCATATGCTCACCCACCCAGTCACTCCTTAAGGTATTTCTTTTTTTCCCTCTCCCAACAATCATTTGTTCCTAAGATCAGATATGCTGAGATTTCCCTCGCCTACTTAACTGCTTTGCCCAGGAGGCTTCCCTGAGGCCCAGGAAGGCAAAAAATGGAGAGGAGGCGCAGCTCCCCATGCCCTCTCCACTTTTTGCCTTCCTGAGCCCCAGGGAGGCCCCAAAATGAAGCACAGGGGGGTCCCCTATGCTCCATTTTCTGCCTTCCTGAGCCCAAGGGAAGTCTTCTGGGAGCAAAAATGCTCCCCAGCTTCTCCCAGCTTTTTGCTCCCCCAGAGCAAAAATGCCTCCCCAGCTTCTCTGAGGCTCAGAATACCCCAAAATGGAGCATAGAGGAGTGCTGTGTGCCCCTCCTTTCCTCCATTTTCTGTCTTCCTGGGCCCAAGGTAAGCCTTCTGGGAGCAAAAAGCCCTCCAGAAGGCTTCTCTGAGGCTCAGAAGGCCCTAAAAATGGGGGGCAGGTTTGCTGCAAAAAGCAAAAAAAAACCCAAACCACGTCTGCCCAGTCACATGGCCATGTCTACCTAGCCACGCCCCAGAGGTAGTATTCAGCAGGTTCTGACCAGTTCTGGAGAACTGGTAGTGGAAATTTTGAGTAGTTCAGAGAACCATCAAACATCACCTCTGACTGGAGTTTTTACGGTATCCTTCCACTGCCACACCCACCAAGCCATGACAACAGAACCGGTAGTAAAAAAAATTGAATCCCACCACTGCCATGCCCCCTAACCATGCCCCCTAGCCATGCCCACAGAACCAATAGTAAAAAAATTTGAATCCCACCATTGGATATACAGATGAAGGACAGTCTGTCAAATAATCTGGTCCCTTGCTATGTTGGGCTTTAAAGTCAACCTCAACACTTTGAATTGGCTCCAGAAACAAACTGGTAACCAGTGTAGCACATGCAGCAGAGCTTTAACATGTAGAAATAGCATAGCAGTTAGGCTTATATACTGCCCCATAGTGTTTTATAGCACTCTCTGTGCAGTTTACAATGTAGACATTATTTACACGGGAAAGAAAGTATAAATGGCTCCCTGACAAGTGAGCTCTTTTTCCCCAGCAAAACTCTGAGAGACCTAACAGGGTAATTTCCCCCTATCTTTTCATTAACTACCTTGTAGGAATAGAATAGAATTCTTTATTCTTTATTGGCCATGTGTGATTGGACACACAAGGAATTTGTCTTGGTGCAAATGCTCTCAGTGTACATAAAAGAAAAGATACATTCGTCAAGAGTCAAGAATCATAAGGTACAACACTTAATAATAGTCATATGGTACAATAAGCAATCAAATCATACTAGAAAACAGTCAATATACAGGTAAAACTCAAAAAATTAGAATATCGTGCAAAAGTTCATTTATTTCAGTAATGCAACTTAAAAGGTGAAACTAATATATGAGATAGACTCATTACATGCAAAGCAAGATAGTTCAAGCTGTGATGTGTCATAATTGAGAAGATTATGGCTTACAGCTCATGAAAACCCCAAATCCACAATTTCAGAAAATTAGAATATTGTGAAAAGGTTCACTATTCTAGGCTCAAAGGGTCCCACTCTAATCACTAATTAAGCCATAACACCTGCAAAGGGTCTCTGAGCCTTTAAATGGTCTCTCAGTCTGGTTCAATAGGAAGCACAATCATGGGAAAGACTGCTGACCTGTCAGTTGTTCAGAAAACTAGCATTGACACCCTCCATAAGGAAGGAAAGCCTCAAAAGGTAATCGCAAAAGAAATTGGATGTTCCCAAAGTGCTGTATCAAAGCACATTAATAGAAAGTTGTTCTGTTTCATCTTTCCTCTTTCTGAAAAGATGAAAGAGTACACATACACAAACACAGGCAGGCAAGCTGGCTCGGACTTCACAGAGTTAATTCTTTGGAACTGATAATATTCTTGGCATTCCATCATGTCCTGCCTGCCAAGTCGAACTGATAGCAAATAAAATTTTACTCACAGAAAATCACAAGGGAGTCCACAAAGAAAATCTGAAGTAAGGTTAAACTTTGTCCTGTACAAAGTTTCAGGAGAAAACACACCCACTTTTATCCCCTGTGGGGTGTGGCTCAATGACTCAGATCACTCTCTGACCCTCCCATGCCTCCTACATTGCTGCTCACATTTCTCCCTATGATGCTGCTTAGGATCAATCCAAGACTCCTCATCTTCACTCCCTGTCAGGGGCTGCTCCGATATGCCTTCCTCCTGATTAATCTCAGGCTGTTCCTCTCGATTGTCTGATGGAACCTGAGGCATTGCCAGAGAGGAAACATTCCCAGTTCCTCCTCCTCATCTTCCAAGTCTTCTTCCTCTGACAGCATAGGCTTGGGAATCGGGGCCACAACAGAAAGTTATGTGAAAGGGGAAAGTGGAAGAAAAAGGTGCATAAGCAGCAGGGATGACTGCAGCCTGGAGAGGATTGTCAGGAAAAGGTCATTCAAAAGTGTTGGGAACTTTCACAAGGAGTGGACTGAGGCTGGAGTCAATGCATCAAGAGCTACTACATACAGACGGATCCTGGACATGGGCTTCAAATGTCACATTTATCTTGTCAAGCTGCTCCTGAACAACAAATGTCAGAAGCGTCTTACCTGGGCTAAAGAAAAACAGAACTGATCTGTTCCTTCTGATGAGAGCAACTTTTGCATCTCATTTGGAAACCAAGGACCTAGAGTCTGGAGGAATAATGGAGGGGCACACACTGCAAGATGCTTGAAGTCCAGTGTGAAGTTTCCACAGTCTGTGTTGATTTGGGGAGCCATGTCATCTGCTGGTGCTTCATTAAGTCCAGGCTCAATGCAGCCATCTACCAGGAGATTTTGGAGCACTTCATGCTTCCTTCCACAGATGAGCTTTATGGGGATGCTGACTTCATTTTCCAGCAGGACATGGCACCTGCCCACACTGCCAAAAGCACAAAAACCTGGTTCAATGACCATGGGATTACTGTGCTTGATTGGCCAGCAAACTTGCCTGACCTGAACCCCATGGAGAATCTATGAGGCATTGCCAAGAGAAGGATGAGAGACATGAGACCAAACAATGCAGAAGAGCTGAAGGCCGCTATTGAAGTATCCTGGTCTTCCATAACACCTCAGCAGTGCCACAGGCTGATAGCTTCCATTCCACGCCACATTGAGGCAGTAATTGCTGCAAAAGGGGCCCAAACCAAATACTGAGTACATATGCATGCTTATACTTTTCAGAGGTCCAATATTGTTCTATGTACATATGCATGCTTATACTTTTCAGAGATCCGATATTGTTCTTTTATTGATTGCATGTAATATTCTAATTTTCTGAGATTGTGGATTTGGGGTTTTCATGAGCTGTGAGCCATAATCATCACAATTATGACAAATCATGGCCTGAACTATCTTGCTTTGAATTTAATGAGTCTATCTCATATATTAGTTTCACCTTTTAAGTTGCATTACTGAAATAAATGAATTTTTGCACAATGTTCTAATTTTTCGAGTTTCACCTGTAGATCATAAGGATACAAGCAACAAAGTTATAGTCATACAGTCACACATGGGAGGGGATGGGTGATAAGAAGTGATGAGAAGATTAATAGTAATAGTAATGAAGACTTTGTAAATAGTTGGACAGTGCTGAGGAAATTATTTGTTTAGCAGAGTAATGGCGTTCGGAGAAAAACTGTCCTTGTGTCTAGGTGTTCTGGTGTGCAGTA